GCGACCTCTGAACTGTGCTGTCAGCTCAATGTAGAATGCAGTCGGACTTTGGGCCGCAGATGATGCGTCGTTGCAAGAGCTTCACTGGTCACCCGAAGAATCGGAGAGCCCGGATGAAGCGATGGTTGCGGTGACAGCCTTGGCTCCACGGTTGCTGTTGAGTGGGGGTCAACTCAACACTGCCTTGGTTCCATTTTGGTTTTGGCTGAGTTTCTTCGCCGTCGCGTCAGCCAGCAACGCACTTGGGGCCCCACACGCAGGCGGCTCAACGTACAGTTGCTTGCTTGCTTGCCTGTTTGTTTGGTTGGGTGGTTGGTTGGCTGGTTGGTTGTTTTGTGTTTATTGTTCCCCCCCCCCGGTGTTTTTTTGCAGTTGGTGCCGTTGCTGCTGCTGTTCCTGTTGTTGCTGCTGTTGTAGCTATAGTTGTGGTCCTGTGGTCATGATTGCGTCTGCCAGGGTGGTGGTTGTTGGTGTCACGGTCGTTTCGTTGAGGCGGTCACATGATTCAAGTTGATCGAATTTCAAGATGGTCGTGCTCAGCGTGCCACGCCAAGTCGTCACCCAGTGCTGTGAGCAGAGGGGGTTGTTTTTTTTACGTCCCTTGTAATGAAAGCTGCTGTTTCGCTTTGTCTCCAAGCCTGTCCCGCGGGGCTGCAAATCATCCGACCAACCCTCGAAAATCACTTGACCCTTTTGCAGAGGGTTGCTCTAGGGGGTCCCAAGCCTGACTCATGGAGGACAGGGATGTCAGATACGTGGACCTTGGCCATGAATTTAAAAATGGAACCCCCTGGAAAGTGGTTGGTGGATGAATCAGCTCCTAAATGATGTCCCCCAGAGGGTCCCTAATTAAAATTCTTGGCCATGTGGGGGACAGTTTGTCTCTTCTGCTAGGTCCCCCCCAGTAGTGCCCTTTCACCCTTTTTTTGGGGAGGGTTCCCTACTAGAATAGACTGCCGAAAAAAAGGGTACCCTTATTGCAACCTCTCTACTGGAGGACCTAGTCTGTTTTTGTCTTTGGTTCAACTGGAGCTGGCTGAGCCGAGAGTCTCCGAAAGATTTGAGGCGGATGAGGACGCGCTTGCCGCTTTCGTGGCGGAGCATGAGGCCAGCGGAAGGGCAAGACCTGGAATACTTAAAAAACAAGTTCGGGGAGGCCAGTTGCTGAAACCCAGTTGCGGGTCAGAAAAGGTCCTCCCCAACAAAAATCCGGTCATGCAGCAATAGGCCTTATGTATTCATTTCGGGTTGGGTGATGCTAGCGAGTTGGCTGGCTCCTGGATCGTAGTTGCAAGCCGGTTTTTCCTCCTGCCCCCAAAACAAACATCACATGGTTTTCGATTGTAACTCAACATGAACACGACATTGAACATAACCAACACAGCAGGACGTGACTGTTTTCTACAGCCAGTGTTGGGTCCGAAAGGATCCACGATGAAGGACACCAAAAGGACCTCCATTTTTCATTTTGGCCACGTCCTCCGACCCAAAAGTTACATTTTGGGCTTTGGGAGCCGCCGCCACTGCTTTGACACCACTGGAAGGCTTTGCCGACGACAGTTGCCTTTCACGGAAGTGGGAGCCAGCCTTTTTTTTGTCGAAGGGGAGTTGGTCGGTCGGTTGGTTGGGTGGGTGGGTTGGTTGGTTCTGCTTGAAACGCCCGATTGCTGGAACGGACCTTGAGGAAATCGTCACAAAGGGCCTCGCGCATGAGGAAGCTTTGCCTGAGGTCTTTTGAAGAAACGGGGCCAACCAAATGGGTTCTCAAAATCGGGGACCACTCCCTCCAGGTAGGTGGTTTCCTTTTGGCTTCCCTTTACAACCGTCCGCAAAGGGGTCCGATTCCTATGTTCAGACACCCAACCAATTTGCTTGCCATGTTTTGGGATGCTGAAGGTCGCTGGGATCGCTCGTGCGGACCAGATTTTCCACGGATCCCTTTTGAGATTCAAAGCAAGAGAAGCGGAAACCAATGGAAGTGAAGATGCAAAATCTCCTTGAGACAACAGCTAGGCCTTCCAGTATTGCCCTTTTACCAACTTTGTTGGGGGAGGGTTCACCTACTAAAAAAAACAAAACAGAAAAAAAACGGGTACCTTATTAGAGCACCTCTTTGCTGGAGGACCCAGACAGACAAGTCCATGCTCACCCGGGCCAGGATTTGGAGTTCAAGTCCGACGGCAGCGGCAAGGCGTGGAATCGATTTTGCTTCCTCCTTCCGCAAGCAGATCATGAAAACCTAAATTGGATGCCATCTTGGCCTGTTGTATCGGAGTTCTGCCTAAACCTAGTTCTTTGTTGGGATTTGCCTGGTTTGGGGAGTATTTTTCGAATTTGCAGATGATCACCTTAGCAACTGGGTCTTTGGATTTGTAATTGGGTATTTGGGAGTGTCTTTTGTTAGGGACCCCCCAACATTGTTTTTTCTTTGCCACCCGTTTGAGGGGTACCCCGGAACAAAAATGATGTGCCACCCACTTGAAGCCTGAAACCTCAATTGCTAAGCACCTCTGCTCTGGTGGGCTTTAACCTCGCTAGCTTCGATCCACTCTCAGGAAGCCTTAGCTTACCAACCGTCGCCGGAAAAGCAAAGCACACCGGCGTTTTGGTGTCTAGTGAACCTCATTTAACACTACTAGTGGTTGGGAGAAGTAAATTCAGTGTTTTTTTGCGGAAGAGTGCTAGGGAACTTTCCTGATTAAACTGGAGTTGACTTGAAGCGGACATGATTGCCAGATCAAGGATTGCCACAGAATGAGGTTACCAGGCTTACATTCGCTCACCAATCCTACAACCAAGCAAGTAAATCATTTTGGGGGAGGGCTGAGCTCGCCTTGGATATCTTTGCTGTGCCGGCCCTCAACCCCGGATAGATGAAGGTGAGTAAGAAGTCCCAGCCAGAAATTTGTTGCGGCGGCCTTCTTAATTCTTGAAGCATGGTTCTGGGTAGAGCGTCTTAATTTACCGGGTTTTGATGACTCATTTCGGCCTCAAGCCCCGAACTCGGGCAGTTTTATGGGGGTCACTCCCTGGGTTCGCGGGCAAGTCGTTTCCCAGAAAGCATCCCTTCGCAACGGACGTCGGAGCTTCAAGACTGGCCAACACGTAGAATTCCGAGAGCTTCAAGCCTAGCCACCATTTTTTTGTTTTTTGTAGGAGGCGGAGGGAGGGTCGGGCGATTCAAAGGAAAGTCACCATGCGCTAGGTTCACAACACTCAGGTGGCATTTGCAGTAATGTTCATCAACATATTGATGTTAACAGGGGGTGTTAGATAATCATGACGAGAGGTTTCTTCTTGGGAGCTGAGACCAATCATCCACACTTTTGGTGTCTGAAAGTGGGCATTTTAAAGTTATCGAGCAACGATAATCCAAGTCAGCTTTCGGGCCATTCCCACACCGCATGGCAACCAGACTCAGGCTCTGTTTCGAGAATGTGAACTTCTGATTACTCCAGAGGACCTAGTCAAGGGAACCCTAACATAGTACTCAGGATAAAATCGAAGTCGGGGTTGATTCTCCAGTCTTTTGAAAACCGGCTGTTTCCTTTGGGTGTTTTGATGGTTTCCTGAAAAGAAGGAAAGGTACCCCTAGAATTGGGGTATGTTCAAAGACCAAAGTCAAGCCGACGCCAACAATTGGAGCTGCGATTTTGTACCTGTGCTGGTTTGTGTCCAAAAGCCAAAGGCAGCTGGGTTCCCGATGTCCATTTGATGTGAAAACTATGGACCCCTCCAGGTTGGTTGGTGTCCTGGTTTCCCTTCTTCACGGTTGTTTTTTCAAATTTGATTCCGTTTCTAGTTTTTTTTGTTCCTTTTTTTTTCTGGTTCTTCTTCATTTGCAGTTTCTGGGGCTTTCCAAGCAAAAAAAAAAACCTTCTTCCCCTCTCCCAGAACCCCCCCTTCTCCCCCCTCCCAGCCCCTTCCCCCCCTTCCCAGAATCCCGCCTTCCGCTCCAGCCCCCCTTTCCTTCCCACCAGTCCCCCCTTCCCCCAGAACCACCCCAACCCCCCCCCCCCAGTCGAGAGGTAGCACATTCTGGCAACAGCAACAGCAGTTGCCTCATTGTCAGTCCATTTTGTTGCATGTGTCACATGTTGCATCCGCAATAGGCTGCAGCTCAAGCATTGCCTCTAGGCATTTGGTAGTTTCACCAGCAAGCTGTGCATGGCATGTTCTTTGATCTTTAATCCTTTGCATTGCAAGTGCATCATTGCATGAGAATGAGGAGCAGACAGACTCCCCCAAGCAAGGCACGAGAGAAAGGGGCGGTCGCATCAAGAGACTCGGTCATGCTGACCGCTAAGCCGGTGGTTCGAGGCCATGCACCAAGTTTCGACTTGGTAGCGGAGCAGCTGCATAAAGATCCTTGGTTCCTACGCTGTGGTGCGTTCTGTTGCAGGCGGTATTGTGGCTGGGTTTTCGCATTGGCTTTGACGTTGTCTGTAGGCATCGGTTTGGTCCTGGTATGGGATCCTCCTTATGCGGTGTCGGGGCACAAGCCAAACACCACGGAGATGCTTGGCAGTGTAATTTCGCGGACTCAGCAGAATGCCGCGGCTGCAGTGGAACGGCTGGAAGCAGTGCAGGATGCGCTACATTCAGATGCAACTCCTGAAGAATTACTTCACAGACTTGATCGTTTGGGTTTGTTAGACGAGCAGATGCAGGGGCAGATGCTGAATCTACAGCAAACGCTTGCAGCGTACAGTTTTGCGAATGGAACGCATCAATCACCGGAGGGAAACGCATCTTCCACATCTGTTATAGCAGTGCAAGTGCAGCAGCTGTCACAGAACAGTTCGTGGGAGAACCTGACGGCCGAAGCAATTGACAGCAGGCAATTCGTGTTTTCGGGCAACTGGAAATTCGATTTATTCCGATTTGCTCATCATGGTGGCGACGCAGCATACATGATGAGGCCCATGGCCACTGCTGGCAGGCGCATGCAGGCAAAAGCGTTTGAGACGGTTCGGAATTCGTTTGCGCAGTTGAGCAAGAGCTGGCGAGTGTTTTTGATTTTGATCTCAATAGCTGGCGCATGTGGTTTGATGTTTTCTATGAACGCTGGACCTTGGGGACGTCAAGGACCTCATCCACCGCAGCAGCACCAGCGGCAGAACGTGCATATAGGGGATGCCGGTCCCCCATTTGTGGGAACGGCTACCCTAAAGGTTCCACCAGCTTGGGCAGCCGAACGTGCGCACTGGTATTCTTTGCGAAGCTGGTTGAGTGACCTAGTATTATGGGCATCAGCCACGGACCTTGACCCGGTCAGGCAAGGCCCTGTCGCAGCTTTGCAAATCACTGGCGCAGCGCGTGAAATCGTCCGTGAAATTCCTCCGCAACATTTGCGTGACGGTGTGCAGGATCCTCAACAAGGACACATCCCTGGCCTCATGCTTTTGGCTCGTGCACTTACCGATCGGTATGGTCCACTGGAATCTGAAGTGGCAACGCGAGCTATTAGTGAGCTGGTCACGTTTACACGCATGCAAGGGGAATCGGTAGATGCACTTCTAGTTCGGTTCGAAGTTTTGCGTGTACGAGCTCAGCAACGTGGAGGTTTGGGAATCAACGCGCAAGGGCTCAGTTGGATGCTGTTGAACGCACTACGCCTGCCTCCCGAAATGTGGGATCGTCTTTTGCTGGCAAATCAGGGCATTCTCCCGCAAGATGAGCAGCAGCTGGCCGCACTGTGTGACAGGATTCGCAGGACTGGCCATTTGTTGGAGGGTGGCTATCACCGACATCCCGGGCAAGGTGCCACAGGTGATCCTGGTCATTTTGCAACTGCTGGAAATGGGTTTTTTCCGGTGTTTGCAGCATCAGATCAAGATCATGGAGCCAGTGCTTATTTTGGCGATGACGCCCCATCAGCAGCAGCAGGTGCGGCTTCCAGTGGTCTGGACCGGGTCACCGGGGCAGCAGGCGGTATTTCCTATTACGAGCAGCAACGCGATGACCGCTGCAACACATGTGGCATGTATTTCGAAGATGATGAGTTTTCAAGCGCAACGGATACCGACGATGGCGTATCTGATCCCGAAGCCGCTCAAATTTATCATGCATTCACAGATGAGGCATCCATGGCAGGTGAGTTGTATCACAACTACCTCGTGGCCAAGAGACGATGGCGGCGTTTCTCTGGGAAGCCACCAAGGCGATACAGAAGGTCGTTCTGGGATGATCAGCGCAGAGATCGACAAGCTCAGAGACTGCAGAGGTCGCCCTATGGCAGAGTCTATGCGAGCTTCCTGCCGAATTCCGCATTTGCAGGCAACAAGGGGGCAAAAGGCGGAAAAGGTAAAGGAAAGGGAGGTGCTCGGAATCCCCGTGGAAAAGACGGCAAAGTTCTCCTGTGTTCAAAGTGCGGGAGTGATCAGCATTTGTGGAGGCGATGCCCGCAGACCACGGGAGGCACGGCTCCGGCAACAGCCTCTCCACCGGCCCTGGCCATGTTGGCGGGTGTGGGCTCGGGCAGCAGTGCTCTGGCTTTGACGGCTGCGCAGTCAGCGTTTCCTGGGGTGACTTTCAACTACATGTCACAAGCAGCGGGTTCGATGCGATCTGGATCGTCGGTAGCAGGTGGCAGCGCATATGATGCAGAGTTGGAAAGCCTTCGCAGTGTGTCCACGGTTCGCAAGAGGGCCGAGGGCGATTCGACCTACACACCCAGCAAGCTGGCCCGTGAGAGTTTCATGCAGAACCCCATCATCGATGATGGTGACGATGCTGGTACGGCGGCAGATGACGAGGAGGAGGAGCTCATCCCAGACAGCGCAAGCAATGTTGGTGCGCATCCCTCATCAGTCAATGCCGCGTCAACGGCATGGAACATCAGTCAGGCAGCGCGTGGTTCGAGCAGCAATCAAGACCAGGGAGAACGCGCCGAGCATGCCCGACGAGTCACGCTTCAGCTTTCCGAGCTTCTGGGCGGCGCAAGCTTTGGCACGGGCGCGCAGTTTTTTCCATCGCGTACACATGGGAACTACCCATGGTGGGATGGAGCGAGTGGCCCCGATCAACCACAAGTTTTCCATGCACGGACACGGATTGATGGACGTGTCGGTCTGCTGGTGGACACTGGTGCTCATGACAATTTGGTTGGAAGCGTGACACTGGATGATCTGTCAAAGCAAGTTGGTGCCCAGGCTCATCAGCGTAATCTGGATCGTGTTTTGCCTGTTT